TTGTTACGATTCATAGAGGAAGAAGTAAATGAGCCAAAACGAACTTTTTTGTTCTGAACATTCTGTATAAATTTAAGATTTGTACCACGATAAGTTGAATAGCATTTCTTTTGTGTTTTCTTCAGAATCTGTATCGCATCTGTTAACAGAAAGTGAAGTGAATACCATTTGTATGTTTCGTTTTTGTATCTGTTCTTGTCATTACGATCAGCTTCATTAAACTCCTTATGTACCCCAAAACCTGAGTTAGTGTACACATAAATAGCAATTGAATGATTCTTTGTCAAGTTTTCTCCTGGTGTCTTGTATTTCTTTTCAGCAAGTTTCCAAGCAATTGCAAATTTAGATTTGGGGTTAGACATTTCTTGCTTCATATATTTTGTCTCCACCAGGTCTGCCATTTTCTCTCTACAGCCCTTATACTGATCATCAACTGAATTCAGTGCCATATCCAGTGAAAATATCTGTCCTTCAACAGCAGCTCTGTGATCCTGCAGCAACAGGAATCATAATAATCAATCGTCAGTATTCATGTCTGTAATATTCATACTAGAACACAAGCTTACCTGCCCTAGAGCAGCTATAACGAGGAGAAGAAGAGCTTCAGTGATCAGCAGCATCTTGATTCAGTCAAATCCCTCAGATGATCTAGTGAAGAGCAGATGCTGAAAGACAAGAAACAGAGTTTCACAAATGCTAAATGCATCACAGTAATATGCTGCACAATAAAAGTGTTCACCAAATTTTTACATGAGCAGTTTTAAATTTAAGGTATTTTCTGTCAAATATGCAATTAAACCTGTGATGTTCACTGATATATTGACCTTGACCTATTCTGACCCCAAAAATACCTGAGAATAGTGTGTGTCTCTTTATCTTTACTTTTCAGAAGTTCAGGAGCAACGATGAGAGGAGAAGATCAGAAAAGTCAGTCGCTCACAGTCAGACAACAAACCAAGTGACGAGGAAGGTTATTTATATCATTACAAATGTCTGTCTGTGTGTATTGTGGGAAACAATAGCTGAAGTGTGACCATGGTGCATCAGCTTGCCAACTCAACTGTTTAGCTCTTCATAATGCAACACCTGTGAGAGTCTGGTTTATTTGTGGTTTCACACAGGACAGTTCCTGTCATGTTATTACCAGAAAACAGGTTTGTTTCTGTGATGGGCAGATCCTGATCATGGAAATCTGCAGACACAAATACATCAGTCAATTTATTCATGATACTAAGTCACACTAGATGCACTGTATCTTTAACAAATATTTAGCTCTGAAGAGTAAATGCAGCTGCATGCAGCAAATACCTGACATGCACACTTTAAGCATCCCCTGGTATGAATGAATTAAAATAATAGTAGTCATAAATATTTAATAATAAACGGTCTAAGCTGCCTTGATATGATTGCTGTTTAGATGTCATTATATTTCTATAGACTAACCACTAGATGACAGTAGCGGCAGGAAGAAGCGATTGTGTTAGTTTTGGTAGAGCTAAGATGGAATAAAGAGGCACATTTGTTACAGTTTCTTCACAGAGGTAAGAAACTGTACATGCTTCAAGAATACATATCCCATAATGCTTTGGCGAAGAGAGTGCAGTAAGGAAGAGAAGTGATCGAATGCTGTAGAAATGATGGAATCCACTGCTCAAAAACTTAAAGTGCCCATGAAATCAAAATGAAAGTTTTTTTGGGTGTTAGTATCAATATGTTAGTCTTAAGGTTATCTATAAGGCAGTGTGCTCCAAAACAGTGACAAAATTCGCATTTAGAAGATATAAGCATTCAAAGCTTAGAGTTCGCCACTTCCGCCAAAACGGCTCAACGATTTTTTTGACGTCACATCGTACTTCCGCTTCTCATCAAACTTTCTGTCCAATCAAATGCTCTCTAGAATCCGAAGCGCCCGCCCCCTGCACTATAAAATAGACGCTGAAGCCGTGGCTGAAATCGGTCACTTGTCCACAGAATTAGTATTTTCTGTACAGTGAATGGCACGTAGTGCACTATATAGGGGACAGGAACGATTCAAACAGTGTAAATATACTTTCCATTGAGGAACAAAAGAAGTCTGGTTTTGCGCTGTCACGCTAACCACCGCGCCGCAAACACACTCTGCTCTGGTCCAGAGACACAATAGCACGGAGCGGATCACATGCGCGAGTAGGCGCAGACCACAAAATGTATCGGAGCTATTTGAATTGCTATATTTTATAGCAATATGGGTGAGATTGTGGCTGGCATACCCTGTCAAATGTGGCTTTACGGAGCTCATAGGCTCTGAACGGCTCTAGCCCAAGCGGTGATATAAACGAACGCTATTGGCTATTTTAAAAAGGGGCGGGGCTGCTTGATATGTCCCGCCCTGTCTTCCTGTTTCAGTTAAACTGACGTCAACACAGAGTAACGCTGCGTGTTTCTAAGCATTTCAGGGGACCTTTAAGTCAGGCACTCAGGGGTGTCCAAACTTGTTCCTGGAGAGCCACAGTCCTGCAGCATTTAGCTCCAACTTGCCTCAGCACACCTGTTTCTAGTATGCCTAAAAGACCTTGATTAGCTGTTTCAGCTGTGTTTAATTTGGGTTGGAGCTAAACTCTGCAGAACAGCGGCCCTCCAGGAACAGGTTTGGACACCCCTGACTTAAGTAAACAGTTCATTTTGTTTATTCAAGTTCTTAGTCTTCATTGTTACATGCTAAGAAGAAAAGACACAACACCTCCAGGCGGTTTTGGTAGCACGATAACCAAACCTCTCAGTATTCTCAGTGAAATGTGACAATGACACTTACAAAGGGGTTTTTGTGAGAATGGGTCTGATGCTTCGTCAGAGTAAAAGTGAGAAAGGTTATGTGTCATCCGAAGTAGCAGAAAGGTATTTTGTGTGAGAGATAAATGATGACTACCATACTATAAAACTTTAATGCGTTTCAGTAAATGATTTACACATTTTGACCAGTAGATGGCAATTATGTCAAAACACCAAAGTCTTTAAAAGAGGTAATTTCCAGAAAAAGGCTAAACAAATTTTACATTAATAACAAAGTTAAGGACGAGCTCTGTAAAATACTAGGATTTATCCAGTAAAGCATGTTTTAGATTTAATTTGAAAATGTGGACTGGGAAAAAACTCTTTTGAATAATGACTAAAAAATCACATACAGGTGGAAATGAAAGAATATATATTTTCTTCTAGGCATAGGTGTAATTCCCAGCATGATGTCAAATCCACACAAAGTTACAATTTAAAACCAAAGTGAAATTTGAAGAATTGGTGAAAATAAAGTAATCGTGAGACTGACCCCAAATTTTTATTTTTCAGTGCCAAACTCCAGGCCTCACAGGAGGTGGATGCATCAGTGGGTGCTCTGTAAAAAAAAAAAAAAATTGTAAAACATTATTACCTCCATGCGTCGTATTATAGCATGCTGTTTGGTTTTTATTTAGATTCTTTATAGCATCTGTTAACAGAAAGTGAAGTGAATACCGTTTGAATTTCTTGTTGGTGTAATTTTGTTTACCACTACACACATCTTCATTGAATTTTCCATATACATTTGAATTACTGTTAGTATACACATAAATGGCGATTGAATGATTCCTTGTCCTCACGTGTATGTGGTTTAAGAAATAATAGCGTGACTGTGATGTATGTAGCTCATCTAAATGGTTTAGATCATAATCACTTGTGAAGATCTGATGTTTGTTTGGTTTCACACTGGACAAACTCTTGAGTTCCTGTCTGTCTAACATGAATGCCAGATAATCTCAACCTGATCTCTTCAAAATGTGTAATAATGGTACATGATGGAAATTGTTGAAGACATACAGACATAGAGATATGTAAGCAGGACATCCAGGACATCCCTAATCCACACCCTAAACCTAAAAGAAAGAAAATTGAGCATTTATGAATTAATCAACACATGATTTCATACAAGTTCACAGACAAAACAATTAGACACATATCAACATGTTTTAGAGACACTAAAAAACCTTTACACAACTACAAAGGCCGTTTAATATATATTGACTCATCTAAATTAAGGATAAAAAAAAGAAAGAAATCTTGTCAAGGAGGTGATTCAACTGGCAGTGATGTGTTGACTAACTATTATCCTTTAAAACTAGCATCCATTTGTATGATTAAAAAGGGAGGTGCAACTGAGCCCAAAATAAGCTCTTAGTTCAGAATCAAATGTTGTAGGTTTGTGGTAACAAAAAGTAAATTTTCACATTTACAAAATGTATTTCAGACAGTGTGAGATCAATATAGAACTGAATTAATACTGATGCATCAAGCTCATCTGGTAATGCAGCACTAAGGCCTTAAATGTTTTTCCAAATTCCACTGTTTTTCAAAGCAAAAACGTGTTCTGTCCACCAAAGGGGCAGAGCCTCCATGCACCGCGGGGGCTGCGGGGGTGTCCCGTACGCCACTGGTAGCATTCAGGTAGTATACAGAAATTGAAATGTAAAATAACTCAGCATAGTCTTCACTCTATAACTTAAATATATATTGATACTTGTTAAAGCTACTAAAGTTATTCAGTTTAAAAAAAACACGTTTTAAGACAAAGTTTTCATATTTTTTTACATTTAAGTAAATAGAATAACAATATTTTGAACTTTAAATATTGTAAATTATTTTAAATATTTGATATTGGCAATAGGTGTTATGCTGCACTGCCTTAAAAGAGTATTGACTACATGCAATTGTTCAGTCAATGTGATTCAAAAAGACTGTGTAAATGAAGAAATATTAAAAACCACTCTGAGGCCAATTAAATCACTTAAAAATAACTGTATTTCATTATGCTGAAAATATATTATAAATATATTCTGACAAAGAAACACTCAACTACATTGAGAAGAAATAAAGCATGTTTATATTGATTTTTGTGGAACTGATGTAAATTCAAAGCACTTTGTAAGGCTCAGCGCAAAGCATGGTACTTATCTATGGTCTTGGTTGGTCTCCTGAATAGAGCACAGTTCAGGTCACTTGTTTTTCCAGTGTTTTTCAAAGTGTACAGTGTCACACCAGAGATCTTTCTCATCTCTTTTTGTCCTGACAGCAGTGACTTTAAACGTCTCATATGGAGGAATCAGCACTTCTCTCTCATGAGAAAGCTTTGAATATTTTGTCACCTCAGCACCTTCACAAGTGTTGATTTCAAAACAAGATACAGTTCCAAAAAACTTTGTTTTGTTCCGATTAAAAGTGGAAGATGCAAATGAGCCAAAACGAACCTTTGTGTTAAGAAAATTATATCTAAATTTTGTACCACGATAAGTATCGTAGCATGCATTTTGTGTTTTCTTCAGAATCTGTATCGCTTCTGTTAACAGAAAGTGAAGTGAATACCATTTGTATGTCTCGGTTGTGTAGTTTTGTTTACCGTAACGAGTTTCATTGTTGAAATCACTAAATACTTTATCACCAGTATACACATAAATGGCAATTGAATGGTTCCTCGTCAAGTTATTTTCTGGCTCCTTAATGTTTTTTTCACCCTCTTGCCAAGCTATTTTAAAATTATTTCTAGAGTTATTGAGTTCCTTCTTCAGAAATCTTGTTTCCACCAGTTGTGTCATTTCCCTGGTGCATCCGTCATATTGATCATCAACTGAATCCAGTGCCATATCCAGTGGAAACATCTGTCCTTTAACAGCAGCAGCTCTGTGATCCTGCAGCAACAGGAATCACAATAATCAATCATCAGTATTCATGTCTGTAATATTCATACTAGAACACAAGCTTACCTGTCCTAGAGCAGCTAAAATGAGAAGAAGAGCTTCAATGATCAGCAGCATCTTGATTCAGTCAAATCCTTTAAGATGATCTTGTAGATCTAGTGAAGAGCAGATGCTGAAAGACAAGAGAGTTCACAAAATACAAAACCTGTCACTCCAACAGGAATATATGTATAGATTTGCCCAATAACTTTACCCCCAAATTACCTGAGAATTACCTGAGAATGTAGTCTTTTCAGCAAATTCTGTGTTGCTTTCAGGAGCAATGGCGAGAGAAAATCAGACGTCAGTCATTCACAGCCAGGCGACAATGACATTTCAGAGATGAGGAGTTTGAAGTTGCTTTTTATATAGCTAATAATGTGCGTGTGTTTGTGTGTGTGTTTTTGAAGTGTGATCTTGTTGCATTCAGCTCAACTAAACTGTTGAGCTCATCACAATGCAATACTTGTGAAGGTCTGTGTGGTTTCACACTGGACAAACTGAGTAAGGCTAAAAAAAAAGTGTTTTACTCCATATCAATTCTATTTTGAGCACTTCTGACTCTATGAAGGTTGTTTACATGAAACGTGGAGTACGTTTTGACAAATTATTTGCTAGAAAATAAAATCACAAAAATCAGGGTTGCAAACAGTGGTAACACTTTAAAATACTGTTACATCATTAATGAATAACTATACAAGAACACATAAGTAACACAATATTATCACTTTAGTAACTGCTAGTATCAAGAAACTCTGATTAATGAATTAGTAAAAAACAGTGGGTAACACTCTGAGTACTTTTGTCATTCTTGTCAGTGTCTTTGAGCTTCCTGCTCTACCCTCAGTGATCATGGCAAGTTGCTTCAACTGCAAACCTTGTGCAAACCTGTATGGAATTGTAACGTTAGCTGTTATGACATGGGGTTTGTGTTCTTTGCTTTGCGCAACTTTATTTAGATGGAAACTCGTTTCAGCAAAAGAGCACATGGTGGGGGGATGGAGGACAAGGAAGGTAAAGAAGATGTACAAGTTGTGGATGATGCGATTGCGAATGAGGGCCTACAACAAGATGTGGATGAGGTCCCTGTTGGGCCAAAGAGAAAGAAGACAGTCAAATATTCCCCGAGGAAATTATGTAAGTCATTTTTGTGTTAATACTTTAACAACCAGTGCTTGAAATTAAAACCTGACATTAGCTTAGTAAATGTGTTCTAGCCACTTTGTCAGCAGATTGCCAGCATGTGTTCAATCTGTATATAGCTGATTGTGGCACATCATATTTCCTATTTTTATTATTTTGTAGATATTGTATGTTTTTGTATATTGTAGCATAAGAAAGTAGTGTTGTCCCAATATTAAAATTGCACTAATCAGTGCAAATACAAGTAATTGTACACAGTTCTCCATACCAAAGTAAAAATGATTAATTTAGTTTCTTGCCTAAATTGTCTAATAATAATAATACATATTATTGATGTTTTTGTTATTATTATTACATCATGGATTAATATATTATTTTAGTTTATATATATAATATATTTCTGTCTCAGTTTCTTTTGCAAGTGCTTGGCTTTTATTTCGCAACATGCATTTACATTGATACACTATGTTTTAAGCGCACCAGGACATATGCTTTTAAAGGAATAGCCCACCTAAAACTGAAAATGTTCTGCTAAATGGCTCACCCCAAGCCATCCAAGGTGTTGGTGACTTGCTTTCTGCAACAGAACACAATTGGAGATATTTCGTTTTCGTTGAAAAGTCAAGCAGTGGAAGTCAGTAAGGAAAGATGGTTCAAAAAGCAGATACACACAAAACAAGACTGACATGACACCTTCATAATCATGACATTACACAGCCACTGGTCATTACCGATTTAATGGTGCAGAGATGGAGTTAAGAAGATGCACTTCTTCTTTCAAATTTAAGTTGCCAATCTCATAAACATATTATGAAATTACTCTTTAGTAGCTCTCTGATTAGATTAATTTGAGAGGGGTGATATAGCTATGGTCTTAAACCGCGATAAAAGGAATTTTGAATCACAGTAATGATACACATATGATAATGCTATGTGAAATAATATTTGTCTCTCTAACTAAAAGTTAAGTCTCTTTCTCATTTACTGTATTAATAACTCTCAACATCGACTACATCCTGTTCTGTGTTTCCATAAACATCCAAGTACTCGCTGTTGCTCCTCGATGTCAGTAACTTCATGTAGTCATGTTTATTAAATGCAGTAAATAAATTATTAATCACATTAGTACAGAAGGGTCAAAACCGTCTGTCACATATTAACATATATTGCAATGTAAATGTAAAGCATTAATAATATATTATAGACATTTTCATAGACACTTTGTGACTTGTGTAAAGCAGCTTTGAAACGATTTGTATTGTGAAAAGTGCTATACAAATAAAAATTATTTGATTTGATTATATCCAATGGCAAGCACTTCCAATAGCTCTGTGCTCTGGTTTCAAAAACAAGACTTTACAGAACGTTTTCACTTTACAGAACTTTAATCATCAACTACAATGAGAGCATTACAGAAGTTATCTGTAATAAAACAAAGCCTGTTATCTGTGTTCTTCTGTGAGACAGTTCTCTGCTTTCAGATAGTACCCAGAATTGGGCCTACATTGAGAAAGGTAGCTTTTTAGGTTTTGAGGCTTTGTTTATTTATACATCTTTCTGCTTGTCCCCCTGCCTCATTCCCCTTTTCTCACAGGCTTCCACAGACGACATAAATGAGAAGGTCTCTGAGTTTGCAGAGCGCTGCAGGAGGGCTATAACAAAAGAGATGGCTGAAACCATCACAGCAAAGAAAAAAAGTGGACAACTCCTCCCAATAATGCATAAGTACACTTAAATTTTTTTTTTCATGAACAAGTTATCCTGTTGTTTTCCCTTCAAAACACTACATATATGTGTTGAGAATATTTTGTAAACCTCTGTTTGAGGAAGCACTGGTAATAATTTTTTGTTAGTTTTATCTTTTTCATTATATGTCAGAAAATTTCAGAACCCTCTGTGAGGAAGAACAAGTTCTGTTCTTTTTATGTATTGTTCACATACATAAAGTTAAGTATAATCTTTTGACGTGTCTGTTGCATTTTGTTAAGGTATTTAATATGATTTGTTAATACTCCGTATTTAATATGATTTGACAGAATAATGCCACTTAACATTTAATGACAGAGTATTAACACTTAATGACATTTTAATGACAAGTTCAACTTGTACCACTGTAGTTGAGATCAAGAAAAGTATTCATGACGCTGTTATAAAATAATTTGACAGAGTATTAACACTTAATGACATTTTAATGACAAATTCAACTTGTACCACTGTAGTTTAGGTCAAGAAAAGTATTCATGACGCTGTTATAAAATTATTTGACAAAGTATTAACACTTAATGACATTTTAATGACAAATTCAATTTGTACCACTGAATAAAAGTGGTCAGAAAAATATTCATGACACAATTATAATGGCCTCATGACAGCCAATATCAAAACCAACCACATGACTGTTTAATGTAATGTTAACCCATAAAGCTAAGTAATTTCTTAAGTTTGATCATTAATCTGCTATGTCATGTTTATGACAAATTTATGACTGGTTATGTTGTCTAAGTAATGTCAAGTTGTCACGACAGGTACTGACAGGTTATGATGTCTTGGTTTATGTCCAGTTGTCATAACAAAGGCATCTCAAACAATGTCATCTTTGCTTTAAAAATGACATAACTGAGCGAATGACACTTAATGACAGTTGTCATAAACATGCATAAAACCTCCTTCATATTCATGACGTGTGTCGTGTCATGATTATGAAGGTGTCATGTCAGTCTTATGCACACCCCTTCAAGTAAAGTGTTACCAAACAGTGCTTAATCAAATGTGGTAGTTCACTATTAGCTAATCAGTAACTACTATTTTTCATACCTCCCCAAGAACTACTGTATACAGGTTTATAATTAATATGAATAATGCATAGTGTATGCATAATGTATAATTAATTCTAAAGTGAAGGTCATGGCAACCCACTAGTAATGACACAAGCATTACCAAATTATTCAGAAGGAATTACTCATTTGTTTGGATCAGTATTCTAAAGTGAATAACATGATAATTTTCTAGTAATTACTGAAGTCATTGTAAACTTTTGAGGTTTTTGTAAGGTTCTGGTTGGTAATTAATTTTGCTATGCTTGGTAACACTTAAATCATTACCGTGATCTTCACTTTAGAGAGATTAAGAGATTGTGTTTTTAATTTGAGCTAATTCAGTAAATGAAAAAAGCAGCGTTCTTACCTTAAAACTTTCCAAATGCTTCCCACAGATAAGGTGTCTCTTTTCTCAGTTGTTTGCCCACTAGGAATACGTTCACTTTAAAATACTAGTGTCTCATGAAATATACTGTACGTGTGTACCCATTTTGTATAAATTTCAATTAATCTCAGAGTTTATAGAGACAGCTGCAATGCATCACCAAGCTTCCAGTTTAACTGTGTGTTTATTCTGTAATATATTAATATCTGAATGTTTAGAATGTTTGTGAATAAATGGCTTTTATTTAAACGTTTTTGAATATGTTGTGTTTTTTTTTTTTTTACGGTCAGATGAAGTTTTAAACTGTCGCATGAACATGTTATAATATGTTTTTTCACTTGAGAGTGTACCCTCACCTATAAGAAAATTTCACAAAACCCACATAATTGTACCAGATGTATAAAAGTTTTGCATAAAGGAAACCAAAGTAAATTTACACAAATTGAGAAAACCAAAAAGTTTAGAAAAGCTTATTCAGTAACAATAAGAAACATGTCAGATTTACAAGTTAATCAGTTAGCATATAAATACTTTGCAAAAAAATATTAACAAAATGAGTGAAACATTAAAGAAAGCAGCATGGTTCCCACTGTTAAACAAAGCACAGTTCAGGTCACTTCTTGTTCCAGTGCTGTTCAACACAAACACAGTCTCACACCAGAGATCAGGCTGATCTGTCCTGTTTTTGACAGCAGTGACATTAAACGTCTCATATGGAGGAATCAACACCTCTTTCTCTTCAGGATACTTAGAGTATCTTGTCAGATTAGCACCTTCACAAGTGTAGATTTCAAAACAAGATTTAGACCCAAAACCCTGTATTACTTTACGATCAAGAGAGGAGGACGAAAATGAGCTCAAACGAACCTCTTTGCTCTGAACATCAAATTTAAGATTTGTACCACGATAAGTTACATAGCATCTATTTTGAGTTTTCTTCAGAATCTGTATCGCTTCTGTTAACAGAAAGTGAAGTGAATACCATTTGAACGTCCCCTCTTTGTATTTTTGTTTGTCAGTGCGAGTAGCTCTAGTGAAATTACTATATACTTTAGAGTCTTTGTTAGTGTAAACATGAATGGCAACTGAATGAATCTGTTGCAGGTTATCCTCGGATTTCTTAGCTTTCTGTTCACCTTCTTGCCAAGTCTTATTGTATTCAGCTGAGGCAGATTTTTCCTTCTCAAGATATTTTGTTTTTACCAGGTCAGCCATTTTCTCTGTACAGCCCTTATATTGATCATCAACTGAATTCGATGCCATATCCAGTGGAAATATCTGTCCTTCAACAGCAGCTCTGTGATCCTGCAGCAACAGGAATCATAATGATCAATCATCAGTATTCATGTCTGTAATATTCATAGAACACAAGCTTACCTGTCCTAGAGCAGCTAAAATGAGAAGAAAAAGAACTTCAATGATCAGCAGCATCTTGATTCAGTCAAACCCCTTTAGATGATCTTGTAGATCTAGTAGAAACACAACAGCATTTCACACGTACTAAATCTATCACTCGAAATATATCATTCATTTATATATAAATGAAAAGCAATATGTACATCAAATTTGACAATAAAACTCTTATATTGACATTTTACTTTAACCTCAAACTTACCTGAGAATATTGTTGTCTCAGATTCAGGAGTTCAGGAGCAACAGGGAGAGGAGAAGACGCGAAAAGTCAGTCGCTCACAAACAGACAGCTCTTCAAACCAGCTGATGAGGAAGTTGGCTTTTTTATATTGCACATCATCCATGTCCAGGTGTTCTGGGTGTGTGAGATAAATGATGCATGACAGTACACTCTTAAAAATAAAGGTGCTTCACGATGCCATAGAAGAACCTTTTTGTCTAAATGGTTCCATAAAGAACCTTTAACATCTGAAGAACCTTTCTGTTTCCCAAAAGGTTCTTTGTGGCGAAATAAGGTTCTTCAGATTACAAAAATGCAAGAAAGAGATGGTTCTTTAAAGAACCTTTGACTGAATGGTTCTTTGTGGAACCAAAAATGGTTCTTCTATGGCATCGCTTGAAGAACCTTTTGAAGCACCTTTATTTTTAAGAGTGTACATTGCTCGCCCAGAAGACTTTATTTAGAAAGTTGGGACAACATGTGGACAGATATTTCAGTAAAGTCAACAAAATGGTCTTTGTTAGCATAATGTCCTACTACCAAAAGCATTGTTAAAGTCATTTTTAACATTAGTTTTGCAAGTTTGATATTTTAAAATGTACAATTTCTCAATATATGTGAGCAGGCAGCAGTTTGAATTTGGTAAGAAAGTGTAAATGAAAGAAAATCAACAATATTTTAAAAAGGAATCAGTAATTGACTCCACTAAATGAGGAAAACCTTTTTATATGGATCAGAAAATAGACCCAATGCAATGCAAATGAAATGCCTGGCTAATAGACTGTTAGCACAATTGAAAACCCCTATGAAACTGTGAAATAGCATTTATTTTATGTTTTCCTTTGAATCTCTGTCACTTCTTTTAACAAAACTGAATGAAGGCGAATTCCACCGGTGTCGTTTTTTTGTATGTTTGTTGAAATCACTGTAGAAAATGTTACCTCACTTCCTTGGAAGCCCACGCCATCATTCATTCATTGTGTCACATAGAAACGGTTGACAATATCACAAAATAACTTTTTGACTGGTTTTATCTGGAAAACATCTCACCCAAGTTTAGGTTGATGTGATGAAAGCTCAAGGACGAGTTTTAACAGGTGTGTTTTCAGGTGTGGTTTCTAGAGAATATACATTAGCCTACACAAATTCCTAAAACTAAAGTGAAATTGTAACTGTTGGTGAAGCTAGAGGGTTTGAGAGACTGACAACAAATTTGATCCGACAATCTTTTAATGCCTCCCTTATAATTTTGGCAAGATTCATAACATTTTACTATATGTTTGTTTCATTAGTGATACTGTAAATGAGAAGAAAATAAGAAAACTAATAAATATAATAGATGCCAATGCACGTTTGGTGCTTGGCTTCCAATTGTAAGAGAAGAGATTTGCTTCAATTTGCTCACATTATAGCGAGAAATTAAGCATATATTCATATAATACCTTACTCTTGCTCTTTGTTTGCGGATGAGGAAAGAATTGATGAATCCTCCACAGTCAAGCAGGTTCAGTGTCTCCCATAAGACCATCTCTCGCACTTCTCTCCTGTTGCTTTACTTTTTCTTTCAGTTAAGTTTAAGAAGTTACTCCTAATGTCAGCTCGTTAGGTGTATAAGACACCTGTCCACACAATCTGTATCTTCCATTCCAACCTCTTCCACCACCATGGGCAAGACCAAAGAGCTGTCAAAGGATGTCAGGGACAACATTGTAGATCTGCACAAGGCTGGAATGGGCTACAAGACCATTAGCAAGAAGCTAGGTGAGAAGGAGACAACTGTTGGTGCGATTATTCAGAAATGGAAGAAATACAAAACAACCATCAATCGGCCTCGGTCTGGAGCTCCGTGCAAGATCTCGCCTCATGGGGTAAAGAAGATCATGAGAAAGGTGAGGGATCAGCCCAGAACTACACGGGAGGAGCTTGTTAATGATCTTAAGGCAGTTGGGACCACAGTCACCAAGCAAACCATTGGTAACACACTACGCCGCAATGGACTGAAATCCTGCAGCGCCCGCAAGGTCCCAATGCTCAAGAAGGCACATGAACAGGCTCCTTTAAAGTTTGCCAAAGAACATCTACATGATTCAGAGAAGGCTTGGGGGAAAGTGTTGTGGTCAGATGAGACCAAAATTGAGCTCTTTGGCATGAACTCGACTCACCGTGTTTGGAGGGAGAGAAATGCTGACTATGACCCCAAGAACACCATCCCTACAGTCAAGCACGGAGGTGGAAACATTATGCTTTGGGGTTGTTTTCCTGCTAAGGGTACAGGACGACTTCACCACATTGAGGGGCAAATGGACGGGGCCATGTACTGTAAAATCTTGGACGAGAACCTCCTTCCCTCAGCCAGAACACTGAAGATGGGTCATGGATGGGTCTTCCAGCATGACAATGACCCGAAACATACCGCCAAGGCAACAAAGGAGTGGCTCAAGAAGAAGCACATTAAGGTCATGAAGTGGCCTAGCCAGTCTTCAGACCTCAATCCTGTAGAAAATCTGTGGAGGGAGCTGAAACTTAGAGTTGCCAAACGACAGCCAAGAAACCTTAAGGATTTAGAGAGGGTCTGTAAAGAGGAGTGGACCAAAATCCCTCCTGAGATGTGTGCAAACCTGGTGACCAACTACAAATTATTATTAACTACTATTAGAAACTACCATTTCACTCACTGAAATGCAAATTAATTTCTAACCTTTATATAATTGGTATTTTTCTGGATTTTTTTGGTTGGTATTCTGTCTCTATACGTTAAAATAAACCTACCATAAAAATTACAGATCCTTAATTTTTTTGTAAGTGGCCAAACTTACAAAATCAGCAGGGGATCAAATAAACATTTTCCCCACTGTAGGAATGTACGTAGAGAGGATGAATTATGTCTATGGTATTAAAAAGTTAAAATAAATTTCAGAGAATGACCATTAGATGGTTCTGTAACCCCACTGCACAAGTCCACTTAGAGCAGGTGCATAGGTGCGTTTTAAAGATTTGTTGTAGATCATTGTTGTCCAATCCTGTTCCTGGAGACCTACTTTCCTGCGAAGTTCAGCTCCAACCTTGACCAAACTCACCTGAGCCAGCTAATTAAGATCTTCAGAAGCACTTGATAACAGTTGTGTTTGATCAGGGTTGGAACTGAACTCTGCAGGAAAGAAAATCTCCAGGATTGGATACCCCTCATTTAGACCATTCAGCTAATCCATCCGTTTGGACGACAAAGAATGCTTTAAAAAAAAAGATTAATGTACCTGTTCCGAATGATGTATACACTTACCTTTATGAGGAAAAATGATGGCGAATTTTTAAGTTTCCACTGTTAAAAAAAAAACAAAAACATGCACGATTTAGCTTTCACTCTCCGCACAAACGATTGGATATGCGCCTAACAGCGCTCATTTATTTAGGTTAAATGTTTAAATTAATACTGTGAAATGCATGAAGTGTTTTATGTCTGTTTATTTTAGGCAAGTCGTGTTGGTTTGAGAAGGCTAAATTGATCAAACATAATGCTTAACTCACTGTCTGCCGCTGCCGCTTGGACGTTTAAAAAACGTTCCTTTAAAAAGCAAAAAAATTTTTTTTAAACTATTTTAATAGCTGTGTAATGGGGAAGAGAGAGAAAAAAGACACGGTATCCAGTTGGACTCGGGCCGAGAAGTCGCATAAGCTGTTGGACAAGGGCCGGGCCGATGCAGGGCTCTATTCGTTCCTTTGTTTCAATTAAAAGTTCCCCCCAGCTCGGCAGTGTTACGTGAGCGGGCGGGCCCACACACTGCCCGGGCCCATATGCACCTGCATACCCTGCATACCCAGACACTACGACACTGATGTTGAGGGTCAACAACGTAGATGGTTTCAGAAATAGCATGTAGATAATAGGGTAACAAAACAAAAAAAAAGGCAACATTATTATTATTAATACACAGTTATTTTAAAACTGAAATATTAGTATCGGGGTTACTCAGTATACACTATGAAATATAAAAATGACTTGTTTGAGCTTCCACTGTGCACATTGTTCACATTTACAGGTAGTATAAGATAATGACCCCATCATATTTTTCAACGCTGACCTGTATCATAAAATAATGGTTAGAAATTCAGGCAGTTATTTTTTGTGTCGACGTAAAGACTCCAAAACAGTTAATTTTTACTTACATTTCGTAACTCTTTTTGGGCCAACTGTTCCCTTGTTCCATGCAGAATTACACCTGTTGTATAATGACTTGGCTTGTACGGTTGAGTAGCTGAACCCTTTGTATTGAACATGTTCCAGATGCAACACTTGCCTGACTCAATCAGCACAGAGAAAGATGGCAATATTTAAACTGAAATGACTTTAATCTTACATTAAATTAAATAGATTATGTAATAATGAGCATACCTCTCTGTGATAAGGACCCGAGCAGTCACAAGGAGGCTCAGAATCATGGGAGCGAAGTTGGCATCCAAAAAGTTTATTTTGAGTGGATATGCAAAATGTTTAAATATGTTTAATGGATTAAAACAGATTATTAATTTAAAAAAAATGAAACTATAACTGCTGAGTACTTAAAACAGTACTAACTCCCCTTCACTACATTGAGGCTGGAGTTTTACATGCTACACAGCACCACAGTAATCACGTTCACAAGCTCTTGTTCTGTCTACACCTCTCTACAGTACTAGTGACGGCCATCTTGAAAACACATTTTTCCCACTCTCACAAATTGGAACATACCATGTTTTTTTTTTTAAATAAACTTGTCTCATAATATGATTTATACATGAAAATTAGGAACAAGAGTTAAGTAGAAAATGTGTATTATTTCTTATTGCCACGTCCACTCGCCTAGATCAGGAAATACATAATTATAACAATGCACCAGAAACAATAAGAACACAGTAAAAACCATGATGGAAGACAACTGTAATGTCTCTCCATCACACTCTCCAAATAACCATTCATGGGGCTTCAATGTTTGGAATGTCCTGTGATGGAGCAGGTTCTCTGTTTTTTCATATGGGGCCTGCAGAATGGCTACAACAATCTCCTTTATTTTATTTGTCCACAGCATGTCAACATGCAATGACATAAACTTGAATACATTTTCTTTCTGCTTATCTTACTGCACATTGTGCTTTTTTGGGTTAATTGTATGCAATATTAATATTACTTCTTTCTCTATAAGGTATTTCTGCAGAGATATTACAGGGATGTGCTGTCCCTTGTTCCTTTTTTTTTTTAGAGGTGTTGGAGAATCACAAATGGCGTGTTTTTTTCTTTCTTTTTTTGTGAGGAACTTGCACTGTATGTGGACTGGAGTCAAATTTACTTTCTAGCCAGGAACATCATCTCTTTCCTTCTCCATGTCTCATGGCATTAAGCAGTATCCACTGGTGAAACAGGCTTGAACAATTAACCTTGGGAAATGGTGTGCTGTATTACATGCTCTAGCCTGCAGAGATTGGTAAATTTTTTGAATAGATGTTCCTGGTCTCTTTTTTTTTTTTTTTACCCATGATTGCTTGTTGGACAATTCCAAACCATTTGTCCATATGACAGTTGGTGTCTCTTGTCTTTGTTTCTGTTAGGTGTGGGGATGTAGCTATGCGAGGACTCGATGCAGAAAATGGGCTCTTTATTAATAATAAAACAACAACAAACCACAACAAAAACTGCCCCATGGGGGAAAAACAGGCTGGCATTTGCAAGGCTGGACAGGCCAGGACACAACCAGGGCTGACACGAGAACATTCAACGACGAACTGGCACAGGACTGCAAACACAAGGAGAATAAATAGGGAGCAAATGAGGAGGATAATAAGGGAAACACAGGTGGGGCAAATTAACCAATAATCAAGTAATAAGATGGGTGGGGTCAAGACAATTGACATGAGAGCACATGGCACACAGGAAACAAAGACAAAAGCCATGTGCTCACACAAAACAAAAACACAAGCACATGACCAGCAAAACAATCACAAGCCATGTGCTTGAACAAAACAAGACACGAACACGCAGCTAATGAGAATACTCATAAGCCGTGTGTTCACTCAAGACATGACAACATGAAAGCACGCAGCCAATGAAAAAAACAAGCTGAGTGCTACACAGCACAAGCCGTAACATGACATGAAAGCAACAACACAAGACAACGAGAACACGTGGCCGAACCGAACACGAAATTACACACGAGGCATGTCTTTTGAGATCTCCCAATAGCAAGCCACTTGAAAAATCCCATACATGTCAAAACGCATGCTAATGATCCCTGGACAGAAGTACGGATTGTTATATTCTGAGGTCTCATGTGCTACCTGCTCCTTAGCCTCTTTCAACATCCTCTGAAAGCATGCAGAGAACCATGATAGTTTTTACTTGTCCCACTGTTGGCTTTTTTCAGTTCAGTTGATTCTACAGAGGGTTTGTCTGTGGATTTAGTGATGAAGGTATTCAAAATATGAACAATTTCTTCAATGCTTTTTGTGTACTGTGAAGTTGTGAGGAGCATACATAATGGCTTGAAGATCTGTCTGGCTTTAGAGATGGTGCTTGAATTCTGCAATCTGGCAAAGCGGAATATTGCAAACTCTACAAGGCCTTTGTCTTCTGTCTGCCTGAGCATTGCTTGACGGATTGATTTCAAAATAAGTCAAGTCAAGTCAAGTCACCTTTATTTATATAGCGCTTTTAACAATACAGATTGTGACAAAGCAACTGAACAGCATTAATTAGGAAAATAGTGTCAATAATGCAAAATGACAATAGTAAACACTCATTTTTCAGTTA